TCTAACAGCTATTAGCTTTTTCTGTCTTCTTGATTTATACATGTTAGAAGTAATTTTCTTGAAGTTAAAATCTCTTAGTAACTGAACTATCTATGTATAAAAATATACAGTCTGTCCTGACTTTTAAACTAGTGAAATGTGGGCACTTCTCTACAAAGAATGGAGCTAACAACAAGGTATAGACATGAATGAATCAAAAGTATCAGAGGTACAATAGCATTTTAATACGTGTGAGTTTTAACAGCTCAGTTGAATCAACAGATTTTTTGAAAGCATTCTTACTGACCTGCAGACAATTTAGGTATAGGCAGGTAAAATGTATGCAGATGTAAAAAACTTCTTATAAAAGTTATATAGTATGTATGCTTGTGTAATTTCTTAAAGAAATTAGATTAATAGTGTCATGCTCTGTTAAGCTAAATGGCTTGTTGCTACACTTATCTGGCATTTTATAGTCTCACACATATTTAACAATTGACAACACAAGATTTATACATACTGCTTTTCTCACAGATCTTTTACTTTCAGTGGAAGCAGCAAATTCAAGTAGTACAGAAAGTCACATCAACCAAGGTTTTTATTACCTGCTTCTTTAAAGGATATCCCGACTGAAAAGATACTTAAGGAGTTATCCTGTTTCAACATCAGTAACTTTTAAGGAATAAGGATCAAAATTCTTGAAGAGGGAGATATCTTATTTAAATCAATCTACACAACTTCCAGTAAAGACAGAAGGCAGGTCAATGAACTAGAAGCAACAAACTACTTGAGATTTAATTTTCATTATGTTTTTCATGAACACCCAGAACACTGCACTATAATGCACAAATGGATACTGACATGGATCCTGCCAATTTTGCTCTACAGATTATACTTTTACATTATCTTTCTAATGGGCACTATATCTTTAGCTTGCAATGACATGACTCCAGAGCAAATGGCTACAAATGTGAACTGTTCCAGCCCTGAGAGACATACCAGAAGCTATGATTATATGGAAGGGGGAGATGTGAGAGTGAGAAGACTTTTTTGTCGAACACAATGGTATATGAGGATTGATGAAAGAGGCAAAATTAAGGGGACACGAGAAGCAAACAACAACTACAGTAAGTAATACATCCGCTTCTGCAATTTAAATGGAAACTTTTAACTTTCCAAAATTTAAGTATTACCTGCTCTTATCCCTTTGCTTACAATATTTTCACAAGAATGTCATATATTCTAGTGACCATTCTATTAGACAAGTTTTCCAATTAATCATACAGCAGGACATTTGGTACTGATTTTGAAATGCGTCACTTTAAATAATATGTTGTAGATCTGCTAATGTATTGGTTACAGCTGGTAACTATTAGCAAACAGAGAACCTTTTTTAACATGTGAATTAAGGTTGTAAGTATGAAAAAGTATAACCACAAACTTTGCTCATAAAGTACTTATGAAATATTAGACCACATTTATGTAGTACAAACTACCTAGAAGTTTGGTGTGTTTGAGTTAACAATTAAAACATACGCAATACTAGAAAGTTCAGTGGAAAGAATTATGTAAACTGCCTTGCAAAACCATTCACATAATTTGCCAAGTCAGGAACAAAATCTGTTATAGCTTCTGCAGCTCACTATTACTATGATGATGATGATGATGATAAAGACATAGTCTCTTTCACTTCCAAAGAGATTACTCACACAGAGAGGGTGGAAATGTACCATTTTGCAAAGCTGTATCAAGTAGAATTTTAGCATTGGCCAAAGATATTAATCTTGATGCAGGTATAAAAAGTCATATTACTTTTCCTAATTTGACTTTCTCTGTCACTGTAATGGTACTGTAAATTTATTCAAACATAATATCTACTTTTCAGAAAAACAAACTCTTGTACAATTTCTGTAAGACAATGAAAAACAGTATCTTCCAGTATAAAACAAAACACTAAGGAACAAATAAGCAAAAAATTATTACTATTTCAGAGGTCAGAGATAGGTTGTCAAATGAAAGAACAAATATCTGTCCTGTGATGCCCTTACATGCTGATATAAAATTTGCAACATAAATCATAAAGATTTTATGTAACAGCTGCAAAAATCAAAGTAAAAGGAATGGTAATATGATTAGTCATTTTCATTTGATTTTTTTCTTCATAATAAATTCTTGCCATTCTTTTCAAATGCTATGCTATTGTGCCAGGAATAGCACGTTTTACTGTTTTACCTCATGATTATAATGTTTGGCATCTTATGCAGCTGGAGTTTTCTCGATACATTTTACTGATTCTTTTAAAAACCATTTATATCAGCCTCCTTTGTTTCTACAATTAATTACATAATGCACAACCACATTGTTTTAAATGGCAAATCAGTTTAATGGCTGAGACACAAATATAAAGATTTTTATTTCATCCTCATTCAGGCAGACTGCCATCGATTTTCAATGGGATATTGAAACAGTAAGGACCACATGACTGTAGTCTAAAAACCAGTTCCTTCTCCACTGATATTAATGACAAAATTCTAGGCTTCAATGGGGCCAGCATTCACCCTAAAATGTTTAAATGTTTTTTCCCCTGTGTTTTTTAAAGGCATGTGTTTATTAATGTTGCAGTCTTGTAACTTTGTTTTTTTTGATCTAGTACTTGCTTGTATACAAAACCTCCAGAAGAGTTTGTATAATTAAACCCTATGGGATGCTGTGGATTTGCTTTTTATGATTTCATGATGTTTAACCAATGAGTTGGCTTGCAATTTAATATTTCAGATTCAAGTAAAGGACCTTAATCTGTTATTCTTATTGTTGTAGCATATTACTTTCTACAGATTTACTCTCTCATGATTTCATGACTAATATCAATTAGATCTTCAGGTAAATGTAGCATATTTATCTCTGAAAATTTTCCCTGAAATGCAAATGTCTTAATATTTGATGAAGGGTTACATTTAACTGAAAAATATGAAGGAAAAATGTTAAACCATTAAAACTACCAAAACATGCTGCTGACTGGTTAACATTTATACTTTTACGTTCAGCTTAAACTCAGATTTATTTTTCTTCGATACCTGTTACATTTCAAAAAGAAAAGTGCAGTGTCAATGTTTTATCTACATCAGGTGTACTGTAAGGAAATCTCTGCCACATTTATTGCAGAAATAAGTTAGTAGTCTCTCAGTACATTAAACATGGTTCACTTGCTAATTTATCTTTTATATACTAGGATATCATTATTTGAGTACTTTTGTTGGATAAGCAGAATAGAAAGATAAGGGAAACATTCCTTGAACAACGACGGTGGTTGTATTTTCTGGGAACCCCACAAATTAAATTAGAATGAGCTCATCATTTATTTAAAACAGGTGTGTACAGTTTGGGGTTGGGTTTTTTTGGCATACCCTCAATTTAAATTAAAATGAAAGACCCGTTCTAAATGTATGTTTGTTGCCCTATAGTATACATATTTCTAAGCTATGTTCAGATGATACAAAAAAAAAAAGATTGGACTAATGTACTTTTCCCAAAGCCAATGAACCAAGGAGAACCCAATTCCTACTTTTATCCTAAACTCTTTAAAAATGTAAATTAGAATAATATTTATTACCAAACTGGATACATCTTCAAGCATAAATTCACACCTCTCTGTCCTGTGACTTACTACTTTATAATGCTTGAGGCTGGAAGTGATAAACCAAAGCATCCTCTCATGAGATCACTCCAACTGAGTCACAGATAAATCAACCACTTTACCTTCTGTGTCTGTCACTATTTCAAATGCTGCTTTGAAAAATGTCTTCATATCCGGTGCTAACAGCCTCACTCCATAATGTCAAAACAACGCAAAAGTAATTAGGGTAATCTCTACATCTACTTTTTCCCATAAGAAATGGAGGTGCTGATATAGAAACACCGCAGTATCCTATACTCTGAATGTAATTCATAATCTTAGGTGGATCCTGTCAAGGTGACAGATTTAAAAGAGGAATCAGCACTCCTTCCCCTGGTGGTTCACTGACTGAATGGTGAAATAGTCAAATGTAAGCAGGGAAATTCACATTGTTAATATTTTAAGTTAATTTCATATTGAATAAAGATGCCAGATGGACACTCTTACAGGCAGAAATTGCTAGTCATCCACAGACCATGTATTGCATAACATGGACAATAGGCAAAGTAAGTTGCCTCATAACTGGGGATCTCTAGAGAATGAGATAACACCATGAGGCTAAACTGGAAACTTGAGAAGAGCCGCAATGCACATTTCTTCTCGTGTTAGTCAAGGTTAAGGATGTAAAATACAAACTGTAAGGAGCAATAAAAGAACAGGGTCAGATCTATTTTTCTCTCTTCTTTGTATTTTAAACTTCTCTACCAAGACACAGAATAAGGTCACAATAATGTAACACTAAAAAAAAGCAGTAAACAAAATAAACAGAACTTTAATTATGTTTCAATGCACAATTAATCTTATTAATTGCATATTGCTGGGTGTTACATGGCTAAATACTGAATCAAGTTCTTAAAATAATAATCAGTATTCAGTTCTCATTATTCAAAGTTCACTTTTTTTTTTTTAAGTGTAAACAATGTAGCTCTTCTTAGTCCAAGAAATGGCAAGGTACCAGAATTTAACTTACTCTTCATTTCTTCTGTACAAGAGAAACAAATTCCTGAACCTTGCCCTATGCCAGTTAATACTTACATAGGTACCAGACGAATGTACCTATGTAAGTATTAACATTGTATGTACACAAAATCAACAGCTTTAAAGAAATCTTTAAAAATGAAAAGGTATCGACAGATTGTGGAACCTAGGTTTTGTTTTTTGGAACAGGACCGTTGTATTAAGCATCTTGGTACCTGCCTTCCAAGATCCCTTTTTGGGCATAAAGCTGAAAATTTGAATCAACTTTGTACATCAGAGGATAGTATGCTCTTCCACTAGCCAAAGAAAATCACTCTATACATGACAGGCATAACTCGACTCATCAGCCTCAAAACTGAAATAGGGTGAAGGTCAAAAACCTCCCACTGAGGCTAAATACAGATAGTCAAAAAGCCGGAGGCTGAATTGATTCAATCTTTACAGGTTAGTCTAAGCTGCGCAGATTGAACCAATAAGCAAGTGAACAGACATTCACTTTTGATTCCAGAAATGCAGGCATGTGGCTGCAGTGGCCCAGGCCAGAAGCCAGGGGGCACTAGAGCATGCCTCACTGCTTGGCTGGAGCAGACAGCTTGGGCCAAAGCTAGCTCACCCACCCTGCGAGGGAGGGTTTGTGGGGGGAGGTGCAAAGCATCCTGGGATGCTGAGGGACTGTAAATTAACTTGAATCTGGAGGAGATCTGGGACACAGATGCAATAAACCAATTTAACTTAAATCAGTTAAGCCTGATACTATATCTATCCAGGTTTCTCTTAAACTGGTTTCAGCCATTTTGAAAGAGGTTTATGTGCACTGAATTTCTGTTGTGTTACAGATTTTTAACAGATTTCTGATCACTTATACCACTTTATGTGTAATTTCTGCCCCTAGACTGAGAGACTAAATGCAGGCTAGAGATACACCTTACAAACAAATTAAATTAGAGATGCATAAGCTTTTGCGATTCTAAGGGTCAATTCATCAGATGCTGTAAAAGGACATCCACAGAGCAGTGTAAGCTTATAGTAAGAATTAAGTAAAAGATGTGAAATAGAAACGTCAATAGTATAGTTTTGTATAGTTCAGAATCTATTTTGCTTTTGGCACCTATTTACTGAATCGTGCTTAAGTATAAGCTGCTTGCATTTCCAAAGCAAAAACACCAATAGTTCAGCTTCATTTAAAAGTGCCCTTATTGACAAAACAACAAGGTATTCCTCTCTCAGCAGGCAGTGATCAGGGATGGACCTTTTAGTGATACATCTCCACATTTTTTGCAAATTTGGTCTTCCTTTCTTAATGCTTGAGCTTCCTTCAGTTCAGCTCTAAATATAAGAGTCTTGCAGATTTATTAGATTTTGTACAGAAAAGAGTAGAAGCCAAAAAACAGAGCTTATGTTGATTCAACGTAAGAGGATTTACAACAAGGATTGGACTTTCCATGCTCTGTTGCCCCTGGAATCTCATTTTAAAGA